GGAACGAGGAACGTTTTAAAGGTAGAAACACGAAAAACGACGTTTTCCATGGAAGTACGGGGCAAAACCGATTGGGTCCGGGATTTTTGCCACTTTTTAACATATCCCATCATATAACTAAAGTCGCTCAATAAGTCCCCAGATTCACCGAAGACTTTCAAGTTTCACCGGGGTCCCCCCTTAAACATATTCAATTATGTAGTTCAATTGCCATCAGCGATGGAATCGAACTTTGAGGGTAATACCGCCCCCCATGCGTCCAATACCGTCCACCTTGCTTTGATGACTTTTGAGCAATACAGACCAACTGTTATAATTTTTCCTATTTTCATCCTTTGTTTCCATTCTTTGGCTTCATTTTCAGAAAGATTTCACGTGAATAATAATAAATTATCCTAAATTTACCAGATGTTCCAGTGGCCATCGACTACCCCAAACAATTGAGCTGTCACTTGACTGTCCTCTATAGCTGCAGAGTCTAGCAGCCCTATAGAACCCTGGGTGGAATTACCCACAAACGTGGAGACTGATAAAATAGCCAATAATAACTGATGAAGATATTTTTCTGCTATCGAAAAAGTCGCAATGGATATGGAAATGTATAGCGAACATATATTTCGCATTCCATTCAATTATGGGCCAACTAATAATTTGAAAAATCTTAAATTATGGGGTCGAAATATTTTAAGAATTCGGTAGGAAATGATTTGGTTTGTTTTAACGATGTTTCCACGGGAGAAAATTGAAAATTTTTGTTGAAATTACTTGTTGTTATCAAATATTTCCATAATAAAAAAAGAAAAAAAAATTCTCGTCAATCCTGAGAAATACAGATGGGCGGTATTATCCGCTGAGCCGTATAGGTACCAGCTCTCCTATGCATAGAAAATTTTGAATTGATTCATCAAGTAGCATAGAACCTGATATGTTTGAACGTCAGTGAAGTTGAAATTATGAAAATTATTCTCATGAGAACTGGATATGCATACATAATTTGAAGTTGGTCGAACATTCGATGACAAGATTGAGGGCATGAAAGCCTAAACTAAATAAAAGCCTTTACTAAAAATGGAATAATCCACATTGGCAATGACACCAGTAAAACTCCATGATAGAAATTTTATTTGTAAAGAAAAGTTTCTAATTCTGACCATTTCACTGCACTGTTGAAAATTTTTGGCTGAAATATCGGGTATATTTTTTGGAAAAGTTTATCATATTTTAGTTTCACTGATATCCAGGAGTTTCCCACAATGCTGGGACTTGTTTTCTGACTTTATATGTTAGTAAAAATCGTTGAGACACTTATTCTGTTTTCATTCTTAATTAAAAAATTTTATGTATTTTATTTTGACTAGTTGGCAATACCCAAACTCCTTACACGATTATCTGCTCATGATTTTTGCTCATTTTTCCCTCTACATTTACTTCCAAGAAGTTTTCATACTATTTTCTAACGAATATGCTTGCCGCACTTTTCATTTATTTATATATAGTCAGATGTAATCACGATTGCTCACTGTGCATACACCGCTTGTAGCCTCCCCCTTTTGAATGAGGGAACTGTAACAAAGCAAATGAATCATCCATGCATTTTAATTTTACTGACATTTCGAGGGATTTCATCATTGAAAATTCAGAGTCTCATAGAAAAATCAATGAGAACTGTAAATTTTCGTTTAAAATCATTCTCTGAAAATTAGTAGAGATCAGGAAAATGCCAGTAAATATATTCTTGAATCTTCAATTAAGGGAAGACTTCAGGGAAATTTAAAAGTCTTTGCTCGGAATCAGGGAAAAACGAGCAATTAACGGCCGTGCAATTAGCGAGAGTCTACTGTAGACGAATTTTGATATATGAGGGAATATATTGAAAAGTAAGAAAAATCGCGGATCTGATCAGTTTTGCCTCATACATCCACCGAAAACGTCATTTTTCATGTTTTTACCTTAAAAATCCTCATTGCACCAGAGTTTTCATCCGATTTCAATTTTTTTTTCAATGTTCATTATACTCCAATGAACAAATCCAAGTATGCGTTTTACTCTATATGTAATGGTTCATGAGCAAATGATTTTTGTCGTTTTTGATTTTATTTTCGTCTCTATTAAATTCTAAAATTCGTTGTTTTTTCGAACTTTAAAAATTGTATTATCACTTTTTTGGTCTTTAAATTGCAATTACGTATGATTATAACGTTCAATAACCAAAAACAACAATTTTGAGGATTTACTGAAGAGAAGAAAAAAAGTCAAGAACTAAAAAAATAATTTTTTCACGATCTATTACATATAGGATAAAATACATACTTGACTTTGTTCATTGGAGTATAACGAACATTTAAAAAAAAAGGTGAAATCGGATGAAAACTGTGATGCAAGGAGCATTTTTAAAGTAAAAACGTGACGTCTTGATGGTAGATATACTGGGCAAAACCGAAAGATTCCGCGATTTTTCTTACTTTTTAACCCCTCACGGACGGGGTCATTTTGTTCCAAGCATAGTGTGTGCTCAATACGACTTGAATTTGATTATTTTTAATCAATGGAAAAGTACGAAAGCGGCATCTAATTGAAGCTACAGTATTCCCGTTTCCAATGTTGTTTGTGTGATCAAGTTATCCTTCATACATTTGGAAATAATCAATTTTGAAAGTACACTGAGAGAAAAATCTGAAGTTCGATTTACAATAAGAAAATAGTCCCGGATAGAAATTCAACCGGGGATTTAGCCGCAACTCGGGTGAGCGCGAGCTCAGCCTCGGCTTGCCGCTTGACCCGAGTTCACGCCGCGACACGCCGCTCCATACCGGCTCACAGTCGAACGCTCATCAGACGGCATAAACCGGCACTTGAGTTTGAGCTGTGGCGCAACGCTTAGAACTCAGCTTCGATTGAGTCGTGTCGTTTCGAGTGGAGGGTGGAATAGAATGATATTTATGCATTTTTAGAATATCGATTTAAAATTTGAATACTTTGGAAAATCAAGAAAAACCGAGCGGAAAAAACTTAGAAATTTTACGCCTAAGAAAATCTATAGGAATATAAAAACCTATTTACTTTCTTGCACCAAATTTTACCTTAACAAAAAGACACTATGAAGTTGCATAATCTCCTATAGAATCGGTGCAAGAAACGAATAGAATTCGAATAGAACTTCCAGAGAATTCTCATAGAATTCCAATAGAAATTTAATAGAAAGCGCTAGGTTTTTCTGTTGAATTTTTTCATGCGTGTTATTTTGGCATACCTGTATTCAACATTTCCCTAATAAATCGTAGAATATTCTTAGAACTCGTAGGCCTATCGAAAAATGAAGAATATCCTCTCCTGTAGCGTTGATAATTGATAATAAAGGTTCGTTAACGTTTTTCAAGTGATTATTTTTCTTGATTTTGTTTGTGTATTCGCGAGAAAAAAGAAAGTATTGACTAATTTTCAGTGAATTGTTCTACCTTGTATTTTCAGATTAATCCCATTCGATTAGTTAATATCACGTTATTTCTGATGAGCTTGTGATTGTTCATCTGAAAAAGCATGCCATCTTCACATTTATTCGATTGTTTTTTCGCTCAAATCACGATGCCATCGGACCTGTCAAATCATTATTTAGGTTAAGTATATTGGGATTGAGTAATTGGAGATGAACCTGAGGTTGAGCAGTGGCCATTCAACTAAAGCCCGGCGAAGCGTTTCGCGTAATGGTCTAACGCTGGGCTGTGAGCGCGTGACGCGGCTCAACCTCGGGTATATGTGACGCGCGTGGAGTTTATCCCAAGCTGGGGCGGAGTGGCGTATTTCCAGCTAGGATACGGGTTCCGAGCCGAGCTCGAGCGGCGTGATTTCTACCCGGGGTTGAGGCATTTTGGTGAACGATACGATTTTTTTTTGTATGCGGCATATAACATTACAGTAACTTCACAAGCGTAATTTTTGCAAATCAAAATGCAATTAAACTAACCAAAGTTCAAAAGTAACCACGACAAATCTATCGTGAGGAGAACTATAAAATAGTTGCAATGACTACATTCCATTGTAGTAATTATTTCTCCGGCCAAACTTACCGTAACCCATGAAAAATTGTTGAGGACTTTTTGACTATAATTTGATGGTGATGGAATATAGTCAGAAGAATTATATTTTTCTCTCAGTGTGAGCGTTCATATTCGCACGGGTCGATACCATCCGTCGACCCCGTACGTGAGGGGTTAATATATCCTCTCATATACCAAAAGTCGTCCAATGGTTCGTAAGACCGAGCGAAAACTTTCAAATTTCACTGCGGTCTCCCCTTAATTGAAAATTCATAGTAATTCGGCACTGAATACTCATGATTTTATTGAAAATTCAAAAGGGTTGAGGAATTCTCATCCTAATGCTATTCAAAATTTTGGAATTGCATTGAATTGTCAGTGAAATATGAAATGTCATGATTTTTTCTTCTTTAAAGGGCATTCAATGTCACGCTCCCGAAAATTACGTGTCGACTGTCCCTGAAATTTCAATTTTTTAGACTAGGTGTAATTCGCAGAAAACTATTGTGAAGCTTCAATGCAAAAGTTATTCCTCAATTTATTGAAAAGCACGCAGGTCGGGGTTATCTCTCCGTTACCACTCCCAATACTCGTTATATCTTTTTTTGTGTCATCTATTGACACTATTCAGTTCACCAGGAGCGATATAGACCGGAAATCGTAAAACAATATCGTTAAACCCCGATCCCGATGAAACACGTCCAATATGTTTTTGGCAGTACATACTCTCCCTCCCGGCGTTGGCCATATCGCGGCCGAATGACACATGCTATAAGGTTAAACGTTGTCGAGTGAACATTGAAACCCATTTAGCACCGCTGAGAATGTAACGAGGCAAAAGAGGTGAAACTTGTGGAACAAGGTAAAACCACAGATCGATTGGCCGAGATTTAACCTACACTCTACACTATAGTTTAATGCAATGTAATTGGTATCATCATAGTTGAATAATTATTAACCGCTTACCATCGAGTACCCGAATGCAATCAATCGATGCTGGATAATTTTGTGGATAATTTGGACTGTAGAATTCTTGCCTTCTCTCTTCCCCAATTTCAAATTTTTCACACGAACCCTCCGTTGTATCCCGCATATACCTCCGTCGAAAGCCAATCGCTGTTGTACTCACAGTTGTGCTATCATGATTTCCCCGATGCAATCGATCTCTATATCCATGTGCTGAGTGAGAGAGACTGAGTTTGTCAGAGTGCCTGTTGAGAAGCTCTTCAACATTGCTCTCTTTCTCTCTCACCTCCACTGGGACAGTGCCCGTACTTCTAACGGGCGTTACTTGATCTTGGTCTGGTTCGAATTGAAATTGAAGTGAATCGATAGATGAATCGAGGGAATTCTGAGTTTTAGCGAAGTGGCCAATCGTGTTGACTGGATGGGAATCCGATTCAACATGGGTTTTAGTCACCGGGGGATTCTGCGGATATGCATTGCTAACTGATACTATATCCCTAAGTCCCATATTAAAGTGCATTTTAACAGCCATTTGTGAATTTACTTTGACGGTAGGGATAGGTTCCCTCGGTTTAAGTTTCAGGGATTCTGCTGGTACTGACCATGGAGATTCCCTCATTGTCGAGTCATCTGGCTGGTCCCCTGGTTTCGCGGTTGAGGGGAAACCACCAATGCTCGTTAGCTGCGCTCGGACCGTTTCCATCTTCACCAATTGGCCTCCAATCGATTGCAATGAATTGCTGTTGGATATCTTTGGTTCAATTTGGTTATCTGCATTACGTGCTATCTCGTACCTTTTTACATTGAAGTTTTGACCTCGTGAACCTCGGTTACTTTCGAGAGTAGTCTGACTGATTTGGAAACGACTCATGGATAGCCTGTCTGATGATGTCTTATGCTCATCGTCAATTGGAGTGAATCTATCTATTCGAATATTGGTTCTTGACACTCTAGTTGGCATGGCCTGGGGAAAGTCACTTGAAGTCGTAGTCACACTTCTCTGCTCCTTCTGCCTCGACGAGACTCTCGAGCCAAGGGTCGATGACTTTTCATTCCTACGACCGCTTGGGATACTCCATTTCACTGTCTTTTCTGACACATAGGTGGTCTCCGCTGTGACTGCAACATGAAATTAGAGAATTTGGTTATTTTATTGTGTGGAATTTCAAATTCAGTTTTGAAATTGTTTGACTGCTGAAGGATTTAATTTTGAGATGAAGAGTGTAGATTGGCCTAAGCGGACAGCAGCAATTTTAATACAATTGAATAATTGAATGAAAGAAATAGATTCTGGTCGGTGACTCAACGGTTCTCCACGTTTCGATTTCGAGGGATGGCCTCACCGGGGGTGTCCTTATTCGTTCATTTAATTATATGTACATTCAATACCACTTTTTGCCAGTTGAAATTCTAATTATTTGAGGGACATCATGCTAACCCCTTACTTACGGGGTTGATGCATGTTATCGCGCCATGCGATTGTGAATGACCCTTCATTATTGATTATCTCCAAAACTATAGAAAACAGTATAACGTGACAAATAACATCGAACATAATATACCATAATACTATTACTTTTGCATCCATAATATTTCAGTTTCATAAATTTCCATTCATTAAACATGATTGAATCCAAATAGTGTTGAGCATACGCAATGCTAGATAACAGAAGCCTTTACGGAGAAAATTATTTGATGAATTTCGACAACCAGTTGGTTGGTTGAAATTCACCAACTGGTTGTTAATTCATTTTTTTCAATAACTAGTTGATGACTTTTAACAAACTAGTTGGTAAATTGAACAACTAATTGTTGGAATTCGCCAACTGGATGGTAAATTATTTTTTTCAGCAAACTAGTTCGTGAATTTCAACAACTAATTGGTCAACTTCAACAACTGGTTGGTAATTTATTTTTTTCAACAACTAATTGGTGAATTTCAATAACTAGTTATATAATAATTTTTGCCGTATTTAGCTCTTGTCCATGAGATATTAAAGCTGAAGATATCCCAGTTAACGCGAACCTAGATATAGGAGAAATACAAGTTTCCAAGATTGAAGAGAATTGGAGGTAACTTGGCGCAGTGGACTAGGCACTCGATTCACGTGCGAAATGTTCGGAGTTAGCTTCCAGACCAGTTACATGATGAGACTTTTGATCAATCACCTTATTACTTATTGAGCAGAAGTTCAGAAGTAACGTTCAACGGACGAAAAAACCTGCTGAATTTACCAAATGGGATTAGAACACAAAAGCTTCAGATTACCGAGGTGATGTTTCCAATTTTTTTCGTTCAACCAACTCCCATCAAGAAATATATAAAAAAACATATAATATGGGCGAGTTATAGATATTTTGTTATATATTTTTCAAAATATAAATTTTTTTGTCTGGGCAATTTTAATTCAATAATACATCAACATTTACTACTACATCAACATAATACTTTTATCGCCTGATGACATAATATACTATTATGGAAAATACTATTAAACAAATAAACTTTGTTCTTTTAGGAACTCTTGAGTTTAAGGTGTCAATTTTGGCTGAAGCTTATAGTAATACCGTGATTGTAAATGAGAATCTCCTCCCTTCTCGATTCGCCCAATCGGAGTGCAGTATTCGAGGTCACGTGACACCTTCACGGCTGTTTTATTTTAATCATTCACGAGGCTACTAGTGAATTATCAAAATGATGATAATTCCGCAATTGTCAGTGAATTGTTGTCTCTGATTTTGACATTTTAATTTGTGAAAAAAGCTTGTGTAAGGTTTCCGAGTAGAAATTTCGTCAGGCAGGCCTTTTGGCAGAGAAGGCCCTGCTCCGGTATCGATACGGTATATCTGATTACGGCATGCCAGATTAGGGCCTGAAGGGGACCATTGCTTGTTCACCTTAGCAATAAATTCCAAACTTTAAGCAGACATGCCTGATCATGCCCCAGTCAGGGTCTTTGAACGTACCGTGATAGAGAAAAATTAAAGTTACCTCAGGCATGTCAGATAAGGGAAATTCCGGGGTCTTTTTCAGCCTGTTTTGATTGAACACAAGTGCTTGTTGAGTATACCGGATACGGCCAACTCGATCGGTCCATGATCAAGACCAGGAAAGGTATGCCGGAAATCCTTAACTTCGAAAATTCTATAAGTTCAATACGGCGAACCTGATCCGGCAATGATCATGTCCAGATAAGGCATGCCGTACTGGACTTAGAAAAATTTTCACCGAACCAAGAGTCGGGGTGGAAATGGTAAAGGGGGGTGGGTCGGTGGGGAGGGGGGATGATGATCAGGAAAATTATACTAATTGATATTATTCTAGATTTAGTTCAATACTACAATTTTATTGGGAGTATTATTGATATAATCAAAACAAACGGTCATTTTCAAGAATGATACGGTGGTCGAGTGGATAGAGTACAGAACTACTAAGCGGAGGGTCCCGAGTTCAAGTCCCGCTCTGGGTGATTTTTTTTCTTTTTTTTCTCGACCCACCTATACTGGGACCATTATTTATTTATTTATTTATTTATTTATTCATTATTCATTTTTGGCTCAATTTAATAATTCAGGTAGTAATTTATTAATTTGTAGCAATGTTTATGCTAGATAAGGGCGACACCAGGCCGCCTGTCACGGCTCTTATCAGGTTTAGAAATCAGGCCCTGATGTCGTAACTGTAACAGGGTCGGATCTTTTCTACGGCAGAGCGGACCAGGGCCTGGCCAGCCAAGTACTAAAATTTCTACTCGGGTTGTGCAAATTTGATTCAAGATGAAGAGTCATTCAAAATGAGTCGATTTGGCCAGAATACTTTAGGAGAAATTAGTAACAAGATTAATTTTTTTTTTTAATTCTGTGAAATGTTCGTGTAAGGTGCCACGTAACCTCGACCACTGCACTCTGATTGGTCGAACTCAGGAGGAAGGAGATTCTCCACCGAATACCCCTCGATGTCCAAAATTCATCGGGTATTTCTCTCAAGTTTCCCTGCGTATCACCGATCGAGTTTTGCAGAAAATTCACTCATATTTTGGGTTCATGATTTTTATCCTGCAAAACTCATCCCTCTCGTTGCTACACAATGAAGTTGTCGGGAAATATCCAATAATATCGAAAGTTTCGGGCTATTACAATCGATAATATAATAGTGTATTCTTTCTTAAATTAGTCAAATCAAGCTATTTCCATGGATTGGGGTACATAGTCCGTATACTCACTGTCAAATTCTACTTTGCGTGTACTCTTTAGAATTCCGACTGCAAAATGGGATCATTAATGGAGGAATTACCGTTCCTGACGACTTGGCATATTGGATTGAGTTCTCCATTCACATGCAAAAGGTTCCGAGTTCAAATCCCAGGCAGTTTCACAGACTCTTTTAACTAGTCAAAGGATTGATTAATCACCTGGCCGGGATCACTTGGACACGAATCAGATGAAAAAGAATATTGATGAAGAATTTGGAGTCAACGGATAGACCACATCACGTGAATTTAGAATCATAACCTTCAGAGTATCTAGGTGATGAAAAATTCGGAAACAATGGTTGAATAACATTAAATGTGATTTGGACCTATAACCTTCAGATTATTTAGATGATTAATAACCAAGAACGGAAACAACTGATGAATGACATCAAGTGAGATTTGAATTCACAACCTTCAGATTATCCATCTGATGGCTCTACTAACTGAGTTATATAATCAGAACCCTCACAGGTGAATTCTACTATGTATACTACATCAAATTCCACTCCTCTTCTTGAAGCAAACCGACCGTATTTATTCGGAACGGAAAACGTTACTATGAACTTAATGTACATCTCTAAGATATTCAAAGACTGAATTACACAAATCGACCCTCGTTCTCCGGAGAAGATAATTTGTCAAAGTCGTTGAATGGTAACGACAAAAAGACTGATGTTCAGGAGGAATTACTTTCAGACGACTCGTCCGATGCTCCTACCCCTTGAATGACTTCTAATGGACATAGGTTCATGTCAATTTTTTATATTTCCTGAAAACTACGTTGGAAAAATCGATTCAATTATGTTAATGTTGCTTGCTGCCTAGTGAAAGAGTTTCAAAATAAATATGGACTTATTGATTCATTTAATAGTTTTTTAGCCTTAATTCTAAATACTTCAATGCAAAAACAATTTGAACTGATTTGAGAACTTGTTTTCCTGATATGAACTAATTGGCCTCGTCTTTCGGACAAGTCTAAAATTTCTTAGCATAATTTTTTTTTCTTCGCGGGAGATATTGTGCCCTTTACAATTTTCAAGTCATGAATTTCTTGATAGAAATAAAGACGTACTTCTCAAAAAACTCTTGTTTTTTCAGTGTATATAGGCGAAAATATATATGAAGTATAGGACATATATGACTCATATATTTCGACTCTCATACACTCCAGTGAACATAATTCCTCAGCACAGGAAACGACACGTGGAAAAACCCGATGCCAGGTGGAATTTGACCTCACAACCTTCACATTACCTTTCCCGAGATGATCTTTCCAATCGAACAACTACCACAACCAGTCTTACCCTCAACTTTTCCACTCATTATATACTACTCCAGAATCCGAAGAAGCGAACGAAAGAAGTTCATTCGACATCCGTCCGTAGTCTCCATGAAATTGTACAGGGACCAATTGTCATGCCTCAAGAGTGCTGATAAGTTCAAAAAACTCGTTCAATTAAAAAGTACAAAAATTAGATGAGATTCTTTCCACACGAACTAACTTTCTCCATGTAAATATCGCAACGAATGAAAGATCCCAGCAGATTTGAAACTCCACTTCACTTACCTCTCAACCCCTCAAGGGTCCCAAGTAAATATACAATATTCATTTTCTCCCTCGAGGGCTGCGTGATATGCAGTGACCCTACGAGTGAGCAATGTTCAAATAGACTTTCCTGGTCCTCGACTTGTAATATAACTATCGTTAAAGTTTCATCAATGCTAACCCTGTTAAAGGATACGTAACAGCATTTTATTGACCTCTGACATCGCTCTACCGAAACGATAAATTTGAAGATTATCAAAAACTGTAAAAAAATTTCAGAAAACTCGATTAGATTTGAAGTCGTAATTCTGGTTTCCAAA